GGGCTACCGGAAAACCTTTGGAAGTAATAGTACATCCGTAACGGTTGCCGAGATACGGCCTTACTTCCGCCTTACTTCCACCTTACTTCCGTGCCACTGAGCTCAGTGGCAGGTTTTATAGAGATAGGTCTATGCTACCCTCCCAGCCTTCCTACCTCCCTTGTCAATGGCTCTAATCACGCCATCTTCATGTCCGCTTGCTCACTTCCTCTTCTCGCTTCTTGACCGTTCTTTTCTGTGCTGCTCTGTCGTCCCACCGTGCCTTGCGTATGGCTCGCTTTCGGCACCACCTCGACGGCTTCCTTAGACCATGCGCATACAGTCAGTCATGCACCGTGGTACTGCGAAGCTCGCGCTGCGTACGACTGTATCGGTGCATACGCGACTAAGCAAGGTGCGTATCATAATGTCTATATATCCTCTAAGTGCACACCCATCCTACCATCGTCACATGCAAGACCCACTACACTGTCCATCCGGCTTGTACCAGATTCTGCGGACGACCTCGCTATCATGCTGCCTTCCCGCACACTTTGTCTTCGTCGTTCCGCCGAGTTTGTCGGGAATGGATGGGCCCATCGTGCTCACGCTATGCCCTCTCATAACACAGAAAGTCTCAGCCATTCCGGACGAGCATAGCATGCCTTGCGAGCTATTGTAGGGCGTGCACGACCGATGCGGTCGGCCCCCTGCATACGGCTGACGTCACGATCGCTCGGCAGGTCCTCGATGTCCGTACGTGCTTTTGTGACCTCATATGTTCTTCTCCTACTACTTTCAGATCAATACGCACATGCTGAAAACACGATGGTCTTGCGCAGAAAGTCCCACTCTACTTCGATATAGACGATCACTCGTCACTTCCAGCAGGGTGGTCAGAGGCCATCTGCACACCAATAGCAGGATGAGCTTCGCCCTTCTGCGATTAGCACGCTGCGGTACGAGAACACCAATCTGTGTATATACAGATACAACATTATTGACAACTGGATCATACATGAATTTACAAGAACAGAGGGTGGATTCGCGCGACATGGAGACGGAGACGGCGATGACGAAGTATGATCAGCAGGAAAACAAGAACGTCCACGACGTGTCCGCGGCTGGCCCTGACGGCTCACAGTCCGAAGTTGAACAGCGCTTGCTGCACGCTCTTGAGCTTCTTCTTCTTTGCGAGGAGCTCTGCGCGCTGCGCGTTGATGTGCGGGTCCTCCGCGACGTACTGCGCACACCACGCGTCCGCCCTCGCCGACCCGAGCCCCAGCTTCTCGATTAGGACGCCCTGCAGCCGCTCCGCTAGCGCGTACAGGAAGTGCTGGTCGATCGAGAGTGGGATATAGTCGATGATGCGCTGGGCGAGGACGACTGTCAATACCGCCCGCAAAGCGACGAAAGCGCGAGCCGAACACACCTTGTACACCTGGAAGTACGCGCGCACCTCCGCCACCACCTCGAGCTCCTCCTGGTACTTGTCCGGTGGGTTCAGCTTCCCGAGGTCGTCCTCCTTCACAGGGTGACCGAGCTTTGTCAGCTCCGCCAGCGCGCTCAGCACCTTTTCCTTCTCCTTCGGGCCCAGTGTCTTCGGCGCGCGCGAGAACGTCCCGCTCCCACTCCCGCCTGCTGACCCCTCCTCCTCACTATCATCCTCACTGTCCCCGTTTGACCGTCCGCTGTTGCCTTTCGCAACCTTCCCAGCGCGGAACGCACCTGCCTGCTTGTACTGCGCGAGCTGCCTGTCGCGCTTGTCCGCAAAGTAGTGGATATTTTGCGTGTACGGCGCCGCGCGCCCGAGCTTCAAGATGGTGTGTACGTTTGCGAGTGTCTCGTTGGCGCACGCATTGACCTGCTCCATCAGCGCCGGCCTGCCCACATGGCGAAATCAGCCAGCGGAAACGAGTACATTAGAGTAGGACGCACACGACGACACCCTTGAGGTGGCTGAACCGCTCGAAGCGGTGCTTGACGAGCTCGCCAATGCTCGTCTTGAAGTCGACCGGCACGTGGTCGAAGCAGTCCAAGACGTGTGCCTCCCACGACTCTTGGAACTCGTGTATGAGCGACCGCTTCGCCGGGTACGGTATGTTATTTGGCAGCTCCCGCGTCACCAATCTGCATCAACCGGCCATCCCTTGTCAGCGGCTGAACAGGTTGACAAAACGAGCAAGCACGTACGCGCGGATGTGCTCGCGCACGTCCTCGAGGTACAGGTACCTCGCGACGCGCAACACCCTGCCCGCATCCTTGTCGTCGATCTTCATGTGCCTTGCCTTGGTCTTCGTCTTTGGCGCCACTTGCGCGTTCTCGTATGGCAGGAATGGCGGGGCGCTCCCGAGGATCGCATACTTGAACTTCTCGTACGTGTCGCGATTGGCCTGCACGAGGCGTGTGTGCCGCGGGGAGCCCTCGATGAGTTTGACGATGTCGTTGCGAAACTTCGTCACAAGGTCGAGCACAAACACGGACGGCTCCGACGTGACTGCCGGCGGGAGCCCCTCGAGCAGCTTGTTCGTCGCCGCCAGCTGCGCCGCGACCTCCCCAATGAGCTTCGACAGCCTGTCCGAGCCCGCGTCGTCAGTACGCTTGCGCTGCCCTCCCCCGTGTAAACAAGCCTCACGAATCGCTGATGATGCGCGTCAGGAGCTCGCTGATGCTTCTCACGAGGTTCTGCGTCCCGAACCGGTGCGGACACGTCGACCCGCTCCACGGCACGTCGT